CCTGCCAGGCAATCCCGCGGCACAGCCGGCCGTCCCTTCTCTGAGCGCACTGCGCGCCGCCGCTGGGACCCCCTTTCGCCGCTTCCCCGGGTTCCGCCTCGCAGCCCGGCTCCCTCTGTGTGAGCCTGAGTCCCCGGGGTCTGGCCTAGGCCTGGGGTTCAGAGCAGTCGGGGGCCCAGCACAGTCGGAGTTTTATCTCCTTCCCGCTGGGGAACGCCCGCCAGGCACTCCGCCTCCCTTCTCTCCAGCTCCGTCCTCTCCGCGGGCCGCGTGTCTCCGTACCTTGGGCTTTTCCAGCTCCTCCGCGCTTCCTTCTGGTTTTCTCCTTGCTTCTCGTTGTAGAATTTCCAGTCAGTCAACTTTCCTGTAGTTCTGGATAATGTCCGTTTTATATTTTAGTTGTACTTTATTGAAATTGTTGTGTGAGGCTGCAGCTAGGTATTCACCTGGGCGCAGCCATCTTGGAGGACCTCTGGAAACCAAATTTTTGACTTAGCTTCAAAAGTAGGAGTACTGGACAAATTGCTACCAGCTGGAACTTCACTTAGAAATGCTTTGATTGTGAAATTGCTGCTTGTTGGACTAGTGTCGCAATATCCAGAAGTTATAAGGTTAATGAGGAGAATGAAATTGGATAATATTAAACGAGAATCATCTTTGTCCCCAGACATAGATTCACTAATTGGAATGCTTAAACCATTTGTGGTTGGTAAGAAATGGAGGAGTGACATCAGAGGCACAATTTCCTTCATGAAGGGGTTTAGTTGCCAAATGCATTCAACTGTACACTCAATCCTCCTTTCTCAGTTCTGGCACTTATCACATTTACTGAAAGTCTTTATTGTGTTAAAGAGCATTGATTTAATTGTAGTGCCATAGAAGCAGTGACAGACATTTGCCACATAACTAAAGTTGTAATAAACACTGTGGGTGATCCTAGAATCATAGATCAGGTTGAAAGATCCAATTTTTGTGGAGGTGTGTCTACAAATTCAATGACACAATTATCCCTTGCAACAGTTAGATCAGCGAGACACTACTATGATCATTCAGGTACTATTCCTGGTGCTATCTACTATAAGCCTCTTGATATCTTCCTTCTCAGTCCATGGACCATGTGGAGGATTCGAGACAATGTGTTTAACAGAGAATGGGATTCCTGTAGACCTTAAAGGAGTTTGCTGTTAACCATATGTGCCTCTTGATTTATGTCCGGCAGTGTGCCCAGTGTCTGAGTCCCTCTTTGGACTTGTAGTGGAAGATGCATTAGACTGCTTGGAAGCAATTGAAAAATTTCCTTTACACACAGGGAGATTAAGGCGAGGAGAGACTGAATTGTCAAGAGAGACTGAAAGCTATAGCGGATTAACAGCCCTAGTACAACATCTTCATCAATATCGAGTTAATCCGTCAATCTTTAAATATAACTTGTAAACCACGATGGTCTTAGAGCACAAAGAATATTTTAGGATATCACTGTATATTTTTGGTGTGTGAATTCCTGTTGTGTCTGCTATTTCATTATTTTGATTCCTGATAACCGTGTAGATTTGTCCTCTTTGGTACGCTTTTTATAAGCATCCTTTGCTATATTTAAGAAAAATAAATAAAATTGATGGACAGATTCGAAAGGAGGTGAGATTAAGAGGAGAATTAGAGTTTTAAAGATTTGGGAGATTTTTAAAAGTGTTTTCTTCCTAGTCCTCTTGGTAAATCAGAAAACCCTACCTGAATGGCCATGATCTAGGTCAGATCTGGGTACCAGGACACTCATTCCTGCCTACCAATATCTTCTGCTATAGGTCTCCCAAAAATAAGTGAATACTTAGAAGAGTAAGAAGAGAGTAAGCACAGCTGACTTTACATAGTCCCATGGAGGTAAATTGCTAAGTATTAAAAAAAAAAAATTAAGCACCCTAAATTTCCCAAAGCTGAAAACCCGTAGAAAAGAACTGAAATTCCCACTTTGGAGAAGGGGGAAGGCGGGGAGGCGGGGGGGATGGAGGCTTTGTCTTATTAGTAGTTGGCCTAGCAGATTTTCAGCTCTATCTAAGAGCAGCAGTTATGTAAACACAACTACTGCACAACATCCCCTCCTCCTTCAGAGTGCTGGCACTGCTCTGATTTCAGGTATTCAGATACCAAAGTTTGGCTGTTGTCTGGGAAGATGTTGCAGTGTGGATGAAGTAAAAATTTGCTCTCTTTAAGAGGGTGTCAAATATTTAAAAGAGCAGGGACCAGCCCAACAACAAGAGTTAGAACTAGAAGAGCCTTTCATTAAAGGAAGTGGCCGCACACATCTCAAGAGAACTATAAAGACTTGACTAGGAAAATAAGACTTCCTCTGAGGCTATGAGGACAAGCAGATTTGGCTACAACTCAGATACGGAAGATTTCAGAACCACGTGTACATACATTCTGCAGAATTTTAAGTGTGTTGCCTTTAGACCCTTCCAGGAATGCTCCAGGCGCCTTCCTGTTAAATAGACACAGTTACTGCTCTGGGATAGAGGATCTGGGTAAAAAATAAAGCTAAGACCGAGTAAGCTCCAATGCACAGAGTGGTATTAGTACCGGCTAGATTTTTCCATGAGCATAACAAATAATTTTTTCCACATCTGATTTATTCACCTCATTTTTAATTTTCCTCCCATACTCCCAAAAGAATTGGCTTCAGCTTACTACTGAGCTTTCTACCCAAAGGGCTTATGAAAAAAGGTACCCAACTAAAAGCAGTAGGACTAAATGTGTAAGACTAGGATACACTGAATAAGGGGGTTCCAGAGTTTTTCCTGAGACAAGCCTTGGCAGTAAACGAACTGATGAATTAAGTGGAAGGCTGTCATATTACATGTCTGCACCGACACGCTGACTCTTGTGGCTCAATTAAAACTGGAAAAACTCAAGATATGGAGTACATAAAAGCTCAGAAAAGGAAAAAGAAATGAAAGGCAATGGAAACACAGGAAAGAGGTGACTGCTTTCCTAAAACTGATAACTTGGAATCCTCCAAGAGAAACTCAAGATTCCAATATGTATGTGGGTTAAGGAGTCAAGACGGGAACAGAAAATGGATCCCACTGCTGTAGAATGCCCGCATGTTTTTCCATAGCATAATATTCTGCCCAAGAAGCAAACTGTCTACCATAAACTTCTCTCCACAGAGCGGTTGGGGTAGTTAAGAGTTATTGGAGGGGGAGGAGGGAAGCTATCAGATGAAGAGGATGCCTGACAAGGTTGTAGTCCAATTCTTTTCAGACAATATTTTGGCAACCATCTGATGGATGAATTCCAACCAGGCTGAGCACTGCTTCCACACTGTGGGATGAACATAGAATAGGAAGGCTCCGTGCCATTCCTATACAAAATATCTGGAACTCCAAGCACGCAGGCGATGAACTCACCCAGAGTAAAGGTCCTGTCCTCTCCTGTAGGGAAGGGTTTCAAAAACATGAGAACTGGACTTGGCTCTCCAGAATTTTGGGAGACCACCCCAAAGACTCTTTCTTCATTGAATGTTTTAATTTCAAGAAGCTGTCCACATGGTGGCGATACTACAGGAGCTCCCAGGAAGAAGGCTCAGTAAATGGGATATTGGCTCTACCACGTACCCAGGCAGAGCAGCAGTCTACGAGATAGAAGGGACTGCTAAACGTCTATTGTTCAGTCCCTCCGGGCAGTGAAGCACCGGGCAGACATGATCTGTCCACGGCTTCTGTGGATGCTCCGTGAGGAGCACTCAGAGGGAACAGTGGGCTGAGCGGCTGGGTGGTGTGGACCTGATTCCGTGGAAAAGGAGCAGGTGTACAACATGTGAATGGCCAGGCAACCCAATTCAAATTCTGTTTAATCAAATTCAGCCTGAGTGCGTCTTGTCCAAAGATGGTGGGGAGAGGGCCTGCTGTTCCCCGGCAGACTGTGATACTTACTCATTGTTTGGAGTGGGCCTGGGAACCCTGGCAGCCCATGGAACCTGGCTCCAAAGTGGAGGAAAGGTTCTGAAATGAGTCGTCGTGAACTGACTGACATCAAGGGACTTCCCACACAGCTCTATTAAACACTGCTTTACGTGTGTGCTTGTGGCGCAGCAAGGGTGGGTTGGGGTCTGGAAACAATCATTTCAGAAATGAAAGCCCAGATTCAGAAACCAACGGAAACCTCAAACAACAGAAGGGAGACCCTTGAAGACAAAAGAGGAACTGTTGGCCCAAAGAAATACCCCAAATTTTCGTGAAAACCCTGATATAGTGAAAAAGAAAAAGTTCAACCTGGAAACAAATGATTACACAACAAAGACAGCACTCTGTGTTAGCCAGGGCACTGTTCCAGAGGTCTGCCTGGGTGGTGTGGGTTACAGGATACGGCTACAGCCTGGGTTGGACTTGGACACACAAATTCCTCAGCAAGAAGATGGAAAGTCCCAGGCCTGATCTATGGAAACAATTAAGATTCAAGAAATTAAAAAGAAACCCCTACCTCACCCCATCCTCCTCATCATGAAAGAATAGAGAGAGACACACACATAGACAGCATTCCCTGAAATAAGTCTCAGGCTTAGGAGAAGGTGGGAGCTCACACTTTCTGAGGCATGATCCCCAATGTTCCAACCCGTAGACAAATTGGCAGCTTGACCAAGAGTCTCCTGCCAGTTACACCTGAAAATGGCTGCCCTAGCATTCCAGATAAAATAAATATGATTATGTGCCCAAAACAGGCAATGGCCACGTAGAAGGCCTATTGAAGGAACCAAAAGAAACAACACTCAGTAGCAGCCTTTAGGTTTTGCTTTTGCTGAGTATCCAGACCTGTTAACTAAAGCGGTAACGGAAACCTATTGATCCTCTTGAAACACAGCCGGAGGCCTTTGGACAGCAAACTCTCCGTCGGGGCTGGGAAGAGGTGGCACCATCTGGAACTCTGCTGGGGCACTTCCCAGTCCTGCCCTGCCAAGAGGCATCCCAGCTTTCTTCCTTCTGATCTTCCAATCCCCTGAGTTGCTTTCATGACAGTTTATTTCCATGTATTAAAGGAATGACATATACAGAAATGTCATCTCCTGAGCCCAGCCGGTCATTAGATATCCGCCATCCTCTGTCCTTCAGGACACCTCGGGCACGCATCACCAGGTCCTGAGCTGCCAGTGTGTACCTGTGCAGGGAGAAGCAAGAGCGAGACCATTAGTGCAGCACCAGGCAAAAGTTGGGGTCAGGCAAGGTTAGAAAGGAGGTATCACTACAGCTACAGTTTTTTTTTTTTTTTTTTTTTTTTTTTTTTTGCAGTACAACATAATTTAATGTTGTTTAAAAGCCTGCAAAGCAGTTATATACATTGCTTAGGATATATACATACTGGTACAGTAAAAGTATAAGAAATGATTGGGTCTGATAAAGACCTCATTCAAGGAACTGATTACATGTTGGATGAAAAGGTAGTGGGGAAGATGCCACAGGGAAAGTTTTCCATAGTACTGGAAATATTTTGTTTCTTAGGATAGGTTGGGTACACCAATCTCACATTATTCTTTAGGCTTTTTTGGCTTTTAAAATACATTTCCTAGTAACTTTCTGAGACCATGTTTATACCCAAAGCTGGTAACACAAATTATAGCTATCATATTTGTTAATAAATCTGTCTCTCCTGCTGAGGTGTACAGGTGAGACCAGAACTCTTGAGGCCAGAACTACCCATCTAAGTTGCTGCCAAATTCTTGGCCCCCTAGATTTAGGGGTTGTTACACAGAAACAGAAAACTGTATGAGGTACAGCTACAGTTTTTGGGTACTCTTAAAGTCTCAAAAGACTAGGTCACTTTTTTCCACATGTGGGATGAGTAATATAAATTATTAGGGGCCCAGTGCATGAAATTTGTGCACGGGGTAGGGGTGGGGGGTTCTCCTCAGCCCAGCTTGCGCCCTCTTATAGTCCAGAATCCCTTGGAGGATGTCACCTGCTGGCTTAGGCCTGATACCCCCAAGAATTGGACCTAAGCCGCCAGTCAGATACCCCTCTTGCAGTCTGGGGCTTGCGCAGCCTAGGACCTTGGCTCCTTACTGCCTGCCTATAGCAGAGGTGGGAGAGGCTCACGCCACCACCACTGTGCTTGCCAGTTGTGAGTTGGCTTCTGGCTGAGTGGCACTCCCTCTGTGGAAATGTACTGACCACCAGGGGGTGGCTCCTGCATTGAGTGTCTGCCCCCTGGTGGTCAGTGTGTGTCATAGTGACCAGTCATTCCCTTGTTCGGTCAATTGCATATTAGGGTTTTATTATAAGTAGGTCCTCAGGTTACATTGGAAATTCATTCCTGTGATATGTAACGCACATGGATCAGTAATAAAATGAAACAGTAAAAAAAATTTAAAAGAAAGATAATTCCTGACCTTTACTTGTGGTAAATCAATAATAAAAAACATAAAGCACATATGAACGTTGGGGATCATACCTCAAAATGACAGTTTTTTTTTTTTTTTTTTTTGTTTGTTTGTAGATAAATGGGAGATGGTGATGTAACCACAAAATAACGAGCAAGGACTGCCTGTACAGGATTTTTTAGATGGTAGTTGGACAAGACACCAGGTGCATTAAATAACCTAAATTAATCTGTTGTTCAGTCCTCTTTTGAGGTTTATAATGATGGTAAGGACAGTCTCAGTTTGGTGCAGGGACTTGCTCAGGCTCAGGGTTTTCATGGCAAACAGAGTCTAGCTAAAAAAGTATACAGGAAAAGTAAGACCTTTTCTTTTTCAGTTATGCTTATTTTTAGGACCACATTCCTTGTAGGACAAAGAATAGTCATTTTCCATTTATAGTGGGGGTAAAATTTGCTTTTTAAAAAGTGAGTTGATTTAAAGAAAAACATTAATGATGATATACATGTAGCATAGAAATATAGTAAAAATGGAAAGGTTTTATTGGTAAATGACTGGTAAATCCTGGTCTACATGCTACACTCTCCTCTTGACCAATGTCAGTGAGAGATGCTCCAAAAACTTGGAAATAAGATTGTTCACTGAGACTTAAACTCTAAACTTAAGAAAAAGGAATAAATGGCCTGGCTGCCATGGCTCGGGAAGTCACCGTTCAATTCCCGCTCAGGGCACATGCCCAGGTTGCAGGCTTGATCCCCAGTGTGGGACATGTGGGAGGTAGCCGATCAATGATTCTCTCATCATTGATGTTTCTCTCTCCTCCTTTCTTTTCCCTCCCTCCTTCTCTGAAGTTAATAAAAACATATATATTTTTTTAAAAAAAAGAATAACTGATATAAGCTAATGGAAAGTATTAACACATAGCGAAAGACAAATGTGGGAGGTGATTTGGGTGGGTGTGGGCATAGGTTAACCTCGAGGCAAAAAACCTGAGATGAAACATTGGCAGGTGCCTATGGAAATACTGATTAGGGCAGAGAGTCTTTGCTTGCAGACTTCAAAGAAATTTTGTTTCACCAGTAGGACCATATTTATTGTGGATGGATTACTCTCTTAAACATGATTCACCTTTTTCTGATTTCATGTTCACCAATAATCTGTTTATGATCTGCCTTCCTGTACAGGCCTGTCTACAGGGAAAGACTAAGCTAATCACTTATAGTTTTAGAATACAATCAGTTATATTTTTCCGTATAAATGTCAACTGGCATTTTGGTTGGCAGATCAATCTTGTAAGCTTGGTTAAGGTGAGCCAAGTTCTGATAATGAATCTGTTCTTTGTATGTTGATTAAACTGGTTTCTGAACCTGAAAAGCTAAAAACTAGACTCCATAAATCACCAAGATAATAAATGCCATCCTACAAGGAAGGCTTCCTGGAAGCCAGCTCCTGGACCTTTAATAAGAGACATGCTGGGATTACAGTGGCATTTCCCTCCTCGGAATGTCTTTGCCTTGCTTTCAGAATTGTGTTAAGCAATTAGAAAACCAGAAACTCTCCATTTCTTCTGTTAAAACACTTTATGAATTTATTAATTCTCATGTTAAAAGAGATCTGCATCTAGCCCCGTGATTGCACTGTTTAAGACCAAAGTCTGTAGGGAAAGATCTCAATCTTGTAGAGTCTATGAAACTCAAGTTTACTTATGCAGCCTAGAGAGCAGACAGAAGGTGACAAAGCAGAGGCTGTTTTAGTTCACATACAACAAATGCTTTTTCTTCTGGAGGATAGGTGCTAAGTGGGAAAGAGAGATACCCCTTTTTCTATTAGTATTGAAAGAATTATCAGAAATCTCTGTTCCACCTGAGGGCTAGGTAGCCCTCTCTTCCAGAAAAACTGGAATAATAAACAGGCCTCCGAAGAGGTTTTGGCTAAAGAGACAAATGTCCCTAAATTTACATACTACAGCTCATATATTGTATTCAGTAGAGTTTCTCAGATACTCTTAGTTACACTTGGTTTTATATTAAAATTGTACATCTGAGATTTAAACACATACGGAAAGGCTACTATAAATATAGGGATGATGTTTATCATCCTGGTGATTAGCCTTTCAAATTCAGAAACTTGGCTAAGTTAATTTACTGAGTAGATTGATCTGTCAGGGTTGAGCATACTTTAATCCAGTTTATGAGCAGATTAGACATAGAAAATTATGGTAAATTATGGGAAAAGATCACTGACAGTAAAAGAAAGATACTCAAAGATTAAAAAAAATAAAAACCACATAAAAGAACTCAAGATAGCCCCTACTGCTAGTGTAGAGGCAAATAGTCCTATAGGCCTCCACAGGTTCTGTATTCAAGGGACAATGATTGAGAGGTCAAGGTTAAACAATGTCCAACTGGTTTTGTTTAAGTCATGATAGAGTATCATTCATAGTAACAAGGCAATAGGCCACCCTGATATTGCTATTGCTAGTGCCTTTGGGTATTGTAAAAATGGTCAAAATTAGCTTTGGTATTTTACTTTATTTTATTATTATTGTTTTAAATTCTCACCTGAGAATATTTTTTCCACTGAATTTTTTTAGACTGGGGTGGGAGAGAAACAACGATGTGAAAGAGACACATTGACTGGTTGCCTCCCACACATGCTCTGATCATCGTCTTCATCTTTGAAGTCTCAGATCCTTTCTTCTTGAATTCTCCTCTCGGAGCTGCCATGCTACCACACACTTCAAGTTTTCTTCCTGCATCTGGACTTCCATGGCACATGGCACAAGTTCTCTCCAATGCCTGTTCCCAATTTCTTTTGCAGCCCCCAATTAAGACTTGGGAAGAAGTCCATAAATGTTAACTTCTCTTCACTTCCAGGTGGGTCTTTCCCCTCTACCATCCTTAATTAATGGTATCCTCAGTCTCTTAAGCAAGAAACCACAGTCATTTTCAATGCTAACTCTCACCCTTATGTTTTTCTTTCTTTTTTAAGTCCTCACCCAAGAATATATTTTTCATTGATTCTAGAGACAGACGAAGGGAGAGTGAGGGAAAGAGAAGATCAATGTGAGAGAAAAATATCAAATGGTTGCCTCTAGTACACACCCCCACCAGGGACTGAACCTGCAACTTGGGTATGTGCCCTGACTGGGAATCAAACCTGTGACCCTTTGGTGCACTGGACAATGCTCTAACCAACTGAGCCACACTGGCTAGGGCTCACCCTGATATTTTCAATGATAAATCCATAAGGCAGAGTAGGACTTCTACACTATTATTTTAAGTGTATTTTATTAGTGGTACATGGCTAAATAAAACAAAGATAACCTTATAGTGATTAAGATGTAAATTACTGGTAAATCTGTTTTGCCATCACTCATAAACACAGAGAGGTTAATAGACAGACACATTTATTTTGCATTTTCTATTTATTACATTTTCTTTTCCTTCATTCCTGTTTCTGTCAGATTGATAGCTTTAATATCTTTTTCTTCCCTCTACTGGTTTAGAAATGTTAGTTTATTCTTTTTATTCTTTTAGCAGCTATGCTTAAATTTTTCATATATGAGTTAATCAATATTTATTTTCCCCTCTTGAAAATAAAGGATTTTAGAATGCCCTTCTTCATCTTCCATGTTACTACCTACTATTTTAATTTCAACTTGTTTTTCAAGACTACTAGCCACTATCATCATTTATAACTTATATAAAGAAATAAACATACTAACTTCTTAGCCTTTTGAAGTTTATTCCTTCCTTCTGGATTTGATTTTCTTCTGTTAAAG